ACTTCATACTGCTCCTTTGTACCTAGATGGAGTAAGTTTCACCAGTTCATTCTTCTTTTCCAAATTCTCATCATTCCATTTGGCATTTTATGGAATTCTATGTCTATTAAATATTTTTTGCCAAGTTCCATGAAATACCTTGTGTTTTGATTCATGACATTTAATTAGTTAAATGGAACAGTGATCATCACCAGTGATTCATCTCATTCATAAGTAAGGGATTATTCTATAGGCAACAAAATGTGTGTTTCCCTTTGTATATGTATTATACAGTTTTGGTTATGTGCATTCTAGGAAACTTAGAGAATGAGCTTTCCACTTACATGTTGCCACTCTTTGCTTGCTAGTACAAGGTACAAGGGTAAACTACTTCGTATAATGATCTTGTATCTGACAACTATTTGGGGACTTGTTTGGTACATTTTTTGGATTCTCTTGAAATTTTTAATCTGGATAAAAATTTTGCATTTCCCCTCAGCTATTGTAGGGCACCCATTTTCTGTTTCATTTCCTAGGCTCTGCAGTGCATCTTTAAGTAGAAAGGCTGATGGGAGGACTCAGTCAGTGGTTGGGAGCATTTCTGGAGGAAAGAATATTATAGAGCTTAATTTTGATTCCCAATGTTTTCAGGGTACTAATGTTACCTATTTCCACTTCTTTTAATTATGTTGGATTTTCCTGGACTAGTGGCAATCACAGGTAAACCCACCCAGGTAATCCTACTGAGGGAAATGAGAAGTGTGGGACGTTTGCTCATTATCTTAGTTCAAGAGTGCCATCTTCTGTTAGACCATTGAAGCAACGTGTAATTGACATTGGGGGTGGAGTGAGAAGCATCACCTGCTGATCCTGTGATGCTCTTACAGTTCCAGGATCCTTAGTTTCTGGTGTTTAGTTTCTCAACTCTTTTGACTCTCTTAGTTGCTTCTCTCTGTTTCAGAAATAGTGCCTTCCCCAAACTGTCATTCTGGTCCTTCCTGCTTGAAAACTCTGGTTCAAATCCTCTGATCTCAGTATCTCCCCCATCAGGGTAGGATGATGTTTCTGGAGTTGATGTCCATGGTGCTCTGTGTAACCACAGGCAGTTGTTACCTTATGCCCTGTGATCCCTGTCCACACTGTGGTCCAGTGTGGGCTTTGATCTAGCTCTGTGGACAGGATTGTTAAAACCCATCTGAACACAATTTGAAACTTATAGAGTCAAAATCAGTATTATTACAAATGTAAAGGTTCCATCTGGCTTTTGTTTACAATTCTCGGATCAGAAAATACCTCATCCTATGAAATAAAATAGTGTTCTGTTGAGCTGAGTGGACAGATTGTTTTGACAGGGAGTGCTGAAAACAGAAACAAAGGAATTGGCTGCTTTTGTTTTTTTTCTTTGTAAAGGTAAAATGGGCTGGGTCCCACATCTCCTTGAAATATCACATAAGCAATTTAGCTGGGGCTGGATGGCATGGAATTTAGCATGAACAGTTCCATATTGATTTGATCTGTTGTGTCTGGTGCCTATGAATTTATTTCAAGTAGTATATTCCATGCTCCACTATGTTCTCCTTAGAGACAAGTGTGTAACTTAATTCTCTTTGTTGTTAACCTGTCTTTGTTTGAGGTTTTTGGAGGATACAGGCAAATTTAGGATTTGGTGGAAGGATGTTTTACAGTCTTCCTCTGTGACTGTAGATTCCCAGTTATCATTGGGAATTCTGCCTTTCTCTGCATTATATATCTTATATATTTCGATTCTTATGCATTTTATTGGTGAGTTGCTCTTTCAATTATGAGTAATGGTCCCTACAAGTATTGGTTTTTAAAATTTTGTCTTTTTTTAGTTTTTATTTTAATTAGAAAGAAGATTATTTTACATGTGAATCCCAGGTCCCTCTGCCTTCACCCCTCCCCTGCCCCCCCCACTAATACCCTACCTATCCCATACCCTATTTGCTCCCCAGGGAGGATGAGGCCTTCTATAGGGGGTCTTCACAGTCTGTCATATCCTTTGGGATAGGGCCTAGGCCAACCCCCTTGTGTCTAGGCTCAGGGAGTATCCCTCCCTGTGAGATGGGCTCCTAGAGTCCATTCCTATGCTAGGGATAAGTACTGATTTACTACAAGGGGCCCCATAGATTACCAAGGTCTCCTCACTCACACCTACATTCAGGGGGTCTGGGTGAGTCCCATGCTGGTTTCCCAGCTATCAGTCTGGGGACCAAGAGCTCAAATGGATGGAACTAGAAGAAACCATTCTGAGTGAGGTAACCCAGTCACAAAAAAGACAAACATGGTATGTACTCGCTTATATGTGGATTTTAGACATAAAGGATTACCAGCCTACAATCCACACTGCCAGAGAAACTAGTAAACAAGGAGGACCCTAAAAGAGACAAACATTGTTCCCTGGAGAAGGGGAAAGGGTCATGATCCCCTGAGCAAATTGAGAGTATGGGAAGAGAGGAGCTACAAGAATGAGAAGGGAAGAAGAAGAGGGGTGAGGAGGCCATGAGGGAGCAGGAAGGTTGAGTTGAGGGAAGAACAGAAGAGAGCAAGATAAGAGATAATATAGTAGAGGGAGACATTAGAGATCTAAAGAGAAATCAGTCACTAGGGAAATGTCTGGAAAGCTACAAAGATGACACCAACTAACAATCTAAGCAACAGAGGAGAGGCTACCTTAAATGCCCTCTTCTGATAATGAGGTTAAAATTTTGTCTTTTACTTATGCTACTATCAGAAGAAAATAGTTCTTGCATAATGCATGTATGTGTTTTTGCATATTTTCACTTTCAAAATTTCTTTGAAAATAATTTTATATTAAGTATTAAAGCATATAGATGGACCTTTAAGAAGTTGTGTGATATCCAATTTAAGCCCCAAAAGTATTAAATCCTTCACTTCTATAGAGATTGCTGTTTTTTCTACTCCTTTAATTCTCTTCCTTCCTTCCTTCCAAGTTGATCTTTCAAATTTCATTTAGTGACTTGAAAGTTAAAAAGTTGAACATCCGATTTATTTTATAATTTTTATTTATCCTTTGACAATTTCATGCATGTGTACAATTGATCTTAATCACATCCAACCTCCTCACTGGCCCTTTATCCCCTGATGTATATCTCCCTTCCACCTTCATTTTGTCTCCTGCTTCTCCTCCTTCTTCCTCCTCATCCTTCTCCTATTTCTATAGCAACCCACTGACCACTGAGTTCAGTTCGTGCTGCCTGCATACTTATTAGTGTGGGACTATCCATCAACCAAAAAGAATAATGCTGGCTTTCCTCTCCACAGCCCCAGAGATAGCAGCTCTTCTCCCATTCATTTTGCAATGTTGACTGACTTGTTCTTGTGCAGGGCTCATGCTAGTAACCACAGCTGCTGTGATTCATAAATGCAGTGACTATGTCATGTCCAGAAGGTAGCATTAAACAGAACTTCCCATCTTCAAGATCTTAAATTATTTCTACCCCTCTTCTCTGATGTCCTCTGAGACTTGGGGAGGGTGCTGATATGGAACCAGTTTAATCACATCTGACCAGTTATGAGAATCTGCATTTTCTGCTACCCACTGCAAAAGGAAGCTTTTCTGAAAAAGGTTGAGAACTGCACCACTTTATGGGCATAAACATAAATATTTATGAGGCAGTTCAACAGTATGCTTATTTAGCAAAACAATTGTAGGTTCCCTCCTAGGGCCTTTACTGGTTATTCCTCTAACAGCCATGCCATTATTGTTCCAGTAGGGAGGTTGTATTTTAGGATGCAGAGTACACTACCAGTATGTCCATTGATGGCTTTTCTCCCTGAGTGACCTATATAGCATCTTCCAAGGCTATGAAAGCTATCTAACAAGGAGGATATCCAAGTCACTTCTTGTTTGATTTCTTCTATGGTCTTCAACCATAGTGTATTATGTCTTCAGCAGTATGATTTTACCATCTAGCTATAGTGGACAATCAAGAGCAGTAACAGTGGTTTGCGTTGTTTTGGGGTCCTCTGTGACCTCCCTAATGTTACTTCAGAGGGAGGTGTCCTATACACTGACGTTTTCATGTAATATCCTATGTCTTCAGGGGGAAGCATTGTTCCTATGTTTGAACTTCTTTTTCAGTTGTATTTCTAATTAGTTTACAAAGCCGTAGGTTTGCATAAGGCTTCTGCATACAGACTTAGCTTTAGTTAAGCCACTCCTGCAACATCATCCTCTTCATCCCTATCTTTGCTTGAACCTTTACCTCTAGCATGCCACCCACATACTTCATATCACACACATTCTTCTACCCATTTCTCCCTTTTGATGCTTTGGCCCTCTCATGTGAACTTATATTTTTGTTCTTTCACTCATCAGTACTCAAACTCAAGTGTATATCAGAATTATCTACAGGGATTGTTAAACCATAGAATTCTGGGTCCTGCTCATAGAGGTTCTAATTCAGTAGACTTAATGTAGGACCTAACTATTACCATATTCATGGGTTTCACATCTGCAGATTCAACCAATCATGGATAGGCTTTTATATTTGGTGGAGAGCATATGATTCATCTAACATTTCTGTGTGTTTAGGAGGTGGGGGAGAGGAGCTGGGGATAGTCTGTGATTTCATCCACCTAGGTGTCTTCCATAATCTCTTTGGTCATCATCTGTCGGAGAATGTGGGGCGTGGGGTCAAAAAGGCAGGAAGTGGGTGATGTAGAGAATCTGGGGAACACAGAGCACCTAAGATGTGGACATGGGACTTTGTAGTTATAGGTGTTAGTACAGGAGCACAGAAGGTTGTAGGAACTGGAAGTAATTGAAGGAATGGGAAGTAACTGAAGGTATGCTTGCTAGGGTTGGGCAATACTGTGAATATGGCCTGAGAAGACTGGACTTCCACACTATTAGTGCCAATCCTTCCTGAAATGTGTTTGTTTCATGTCAGTGTTTTTTGTTTTGTTTTGTTTTGTTTCTAGTACAGGGCAGGGGTGAGGTTCATTCTTTTTCTGACTTCTTGGCTTCTCCTTCTTAGGTGTTTTTTAACAACATACTCCGAAGACTATGTTCCGCAGTACAATTACCCACCACCTGTAAGTACAAGAATCATATTCTCTCTCTCCTGTTGTAGGTGATTCTGCATGTAATGCATAAGTGGGGAGAAGGAATTGCTGAGACTTACAATGTCTTATACTTATTAAAAAATACTTGCAGCTGATAGTCAATGCAATGTTTTATATCTATGATTTATTTTGGGAAATTAATGGATTGTTTCTAGGGAAGAAAATATCTAAGGTTCTAAGTACCTAAGACATATTAATCACTTTCTCTCTTGCTTATTTATTGTCTCTATCTGAACGGAGCTTGTACGAAATGAAATCCACCTTTCTATTTATTTTCAACTTATATGCACATAGAAGTATGGAACTTAATTGAGTGTTGATATTCTGAAGTCACATTGTATGGCTTGAATATATTTATATTTAACCATTAGGAAACAGGACTAGAGAGAAAGCCTCACTTTTAAGGCACTCATTGAGCATCTAGTGAAAAGTCCTAGGTTGATCTCAAGTATGAAGAGTAGGGGAGAAAAGGGAGTAGGGAGATGGGGACAGGGGAGGGAAGAAAATATACTACCGAAACTAAATAAAAGTGGCTTCCTACTGGCTTTACCTTGTGCATCTTAAACAGTAAAATTGCTATGGGATGAAATTAAAATATTTAACTGCTGACAAAGAAGATTTTAAAATGTCATTATTGTCTCAAATACTGTGATTTTTCTACTATTAGAAGAACCAAGATATGTTAAACTGTGAAGTAACAAGGATAAATAATATAAAAATTTTCCAGCTGGGTGGTGTGACATACACTTTTAATCCCAGCACTTGTGAGGCAGAGACAGGCAGATCTCTATGAGTTTGAGAGTAGCCTAGTCTCCAAACTGAGTTCCAGGACAGCCAGAGCTGTTACACAGAGAAACCCTGTCTCAAAAAACAAAACAAGGTTTTTTTCTTCTTACAATACTAGTGAGTAAGTTGTGAAAAAAGGAAAGCATACAATTATAGCAACACAACATAAAATAATTTTTTGAAGAGAGTTTTTCCAAGGCCAATAAAAAATTGTGGCAATTTACACACCCCCTAAAAAGAAACCAAACCAAACAAAATAGACTTTCTTACTTTCAGAGGTTCCTCCCTCACCAAGAGGAGGCTATTTCTCTGTCTCTAGAATTGGGGCTGTCAGGTGACTGATTTGGTCATCAGAAGATGGCAAAAAGGACCTTGTGGTAACTACTTCATCTTTTGCAGGCCTGAGTAACCAGGCTACTATTAAAGGGAGAGGCAGGAAGGAGCGCTGAAGGGCATGGCTTGAAATAGAGGAAACCATCTTGAGTATCCATTTTCGTTAAGGCTAGAGTCTATTTGCAGCTTCTGGTTGGCTGCAGCTCCTGAGGAACTCAAGAAGAGGATGGAGTTGTTGAGTCAATTCATTTGCTTGCTAAAAACAAAAACAAAAATCCCAACAACTGATACAGGAATCATGAATGAAAGAGACATGACTAGAAAACTGATCATAAATAAAATGTATGTTTAGTACAACTAAAACCTCAATGGATTTTTGCTTTTTATCACACTTTAAGATTATAAGAATTATTTGAAAAAGCAAATAGAATCATGTTTTGAAAACAGTTGTAAAACCAATTTAGCTTTTACCAATTTAAAGAAGAAAATAATTAATGATACTAACTTTATTTATGTTACGTTCTCACCATCATTTTCCTTATTGAAACTAACTCTAAATACTTAAAAACAGAAAATATGATAGCTTATGGATGGATATATTTAATACATATAGAAGCAATAATTGCTAAAAAATTGTTAAAGACCTTACAGAAACAAACAAAGAACAAGTATAGGCAATTTATATGGTCAGAAATAAAATTAATCAAATAAATATAGATAAAAGATACAATTTAAAAGTAAGAAATATGAGTTAAATTAAAATTTTTTGCTAATAAAATTGGCAATATACTTAAAAATGATGAGGGAGGAATATAAATGGGAGGAGATTTTTTGTTAGTTTTTTGGTGTTAGGCAGAGGATACACTGTTTCATCTTCCTGGGAAGGAGTTTGCCAGTTTATATGTGGTTACTATTTAACCCAATGAGTCTCATTTAGGGAAATTTCATCAAGGAAACATAATTAAAAATAAGGATAAAATATGTAGCCATACATGATAGTCAGTGTGTTGTTTATAATAGCAAAACTTGGATAGTGCATAAATATACAGTATTAGGGATAATATTAATATATTAAAATCACAGGCAGCATTGTGTAGCCTTTAGATTGTTCATGAATAGTGCTTAATAAAACTTCACTGAAGGTTAAAAAATTGACATAAATATATTTCATCAAAATCACATGCAAATATAGAGAAAATTAAAAACTTGAAGTTCTCAAAATGTTGGCAAAATTGGCCATTGAATGCAAAATTTTGGTGATTTTTTTTAAACCTTTATATTTTTTAGAATTTTCCAATGCAACAGAACACATGTAAAAACTTACTTTCAAAAGTTAATGAGACAACTGAGTTAGCAAAAGCTTTCTCCACCAAGCCTGACAACCTGAGTTCCTCCCTAAAATCCACATGGTGGAAAGGTCGAAGGGGAGAACTTACACCCAAAAGTTGTTCTCTGACCTCCATACACATTGAGATACATTACCCCTCCTCAATAAACAAACACACAAAAAAAACACAAGGAAATAAACACATGGTTCTGAAATGAATTTCAGACCTGTTTCCTTATTTTTCACAAGCTCTGGCTCTACCTTTGAAGTTGTGAGTTCCAATTTCATGTCTGGTGTGTTATAAAATACTATCAAAAGCCCACACTGTAACCCATCATTGTGAGGGAAGTTACAGCAGCAGGAGCTTGAAGGAACTAGTCATATCACATTGTCTTAGTTACTTTTCCATTGCTGTGATAAGACAGCATGCAAAGATAGTTTGTTTGGTGTTTAGTTAAAGAAGGTTAGAAAGCATGACTGGAAGCATGGCGGCTGGCAGGCTCAGCCCTGAAAAAGTAGCTGAGAGCTTGTCATTTTGATCAACAAGTGTGAAACAGAGACAGACAGACAGACACATACATACACAAAGAGAGAGAGGGGAAGGGAAGAAGGAGAGAGGGAGGGAGGAAGGGAGGGAGGGAGGGAGGAAGGGAGGTATGGAGGGAGGGAGAGAATGGCAAGCATTTTTAAAACCTAAAAACTGCTCCCAGTGACACACCTCTTCCATTAAGGCCACACCTCCTAATCCTTCCCAAACAGTTCCACTAACTGGGGACCAAGTATTTGAACTTATGAGCCTATGAGGGCCATTCTCATTCAAACCACCACATACATTTACAATCAAAGGCAGACAGAAACAAATGCTGCTGTGCTACCTGCTTGCTGCTTTTGCTCAGCTAGCTTCCCTTACTCTTACAGTTCAGGGTTCAGTCTATAAAATGGTGCCACACACATTTAAGGTTGATCTCCCACCTCAGTTAGCAATTGAGACAATCCCCCACAATCATGCCCACATACCAACCTGATCTAGATGATTCTTCAGTAAGACTGTATTCCCGGGTACTTGGGTAACACAAATTGGTTTTGAAGGGTTTAAAAAACAAAAAAGAAAAACAACACAAAGTTGGGCGTGGGTGTGTAGGGGAAGCAAGGGTGGATCTGGGAGTGTGGATATGATCAAAATATGTTATACAAAACTCTCAATGTGGAAAAAAACTCTCCAAGGCAATTCTAGGTTGTGTCAAGTTGATAGTGAAAACTACCCATTACAGACACCTAATTAAAATACCACAGAATATGAAGAACAAAATATAAAAGAATGTGAGCTGTGTTCTTGGAACACGTAAGTGTGTAGCCATTCTTACTTTTCATGTTGTCAACATTCCTTCTAATGTTTCTCACTTTGCTTGCTTCCATGGTAGCTGCACAACACGGCAGGACAGTTGTGTGGCTTTAACTGCAGACTTTTGTTCATTCACTTCTACTTTGATGACAAAATAATTGATTTTGAGGCCTGATTTTAGCACTGCTTTTCATAACACATTAATGAGTGTTTATGGTATTATATTGTGATATTTTAAATTGTAACGGCTGATGGTTAAAACACAGCAGGATAGCACTGAGCTCTTACAATGAAGTTAGCATGCACATAAACAAGTGTATAATTCACAGAATACTGACAAAGAAAGAAGAATAGCTATTACCTTGTTAGAGACTTCACCATGTGACCTTAGCATGAATTGATTTCTCTACTCATTCAGCCTGTAAACTTCATATGTTAGTATCGAACAATTTTGAAAGCATTTAGACTCACATTTATTTCAAATGGACCTTGAGAACCTGTTCTAGCAGGGAAAGGCAGCTACTCGTATACCCTTGACCCTGTAGACTGGTCCTCCTCTATTCAGGGAAGGTTATCCTCTTTGATCGAGCGTGCAGCTTTGGGGCAACGCACATGGAATGGTGAGGGAGGAAGGGGACACTCGCCTAGCCATCCAGATCAGCCGAATCAACCCTGGCGATCAATGGGGTGACAGATGTCACAGCCAGATCGCCCTCACATCCGAGACTCATTTATTTCAAATGTTTGTTAATTGAGACCTTATTTTTATACTAGTCTATCCATACAGCTCCATCCATGTTTGTAGGGTGGGATGTAGGAAATAAAGGTGATGGATGTAGTTGGGTGAAGGACTGAATCAGCATTCCTGGAGTGTGTAATCCTTTTAGTTAGGGCTAACAAAATGAAGATAGATTTTAAAAGAGAGGACCTGGGAGATTACTCATGCAGGTAAAAAAGTTCCTTCCACCAAGGTGTGATAACCTGAATTCTATTCCTGGAACCCACACGGTAGAAGGATGACCGACTCCTACTAGTTGTCCTCTAATCTTTGAACACACACACACACACACACACACACACACACACACAGACACTAAATCAGTGTAATGGCAAGGGGCAGGTAATAGCGTAGTGAGGTAGGTAGGAGGTACTGATTAAAGTGTGTGTGTGTGTGTGTGTGTG